TGCCCCCCAGGCGTCCGGGCCCACCCTCCTCCAGCTCCCCACACCCTCTCACTGGTAAGGATGCCCTCGTGTGGCCTTTGGAACACACAGGGGGTGGAGGCAGGCACTTAGCCCAGCTCCAGTCAATGTGCCTCTACGTATGGAAGGGATGAAAGGGATAAAACAAGAGCTCTGCTTGAAACATGTTCGTTTCAGAGCCGCCTCATGATCTCCAAGTCACTGGAGAGGTCATTGGGAAGCTGGAGATGATCCTGCTCTCTCACCCTAACCCCCCCAACCCTCAGAGCTCTCTGCGCAGACCCTGCCCCAGTCCTTCATGCTGGGGAACATGCTGGCTCCCAAACCACATGTGGCTTTGGAGCTCTCCTGCCTGCCTGGCCCCTGCCTACAAAGGAGCTCGCCCCTCACTTACCACCCAGCTCTGACGCATCACTCATGACCTGGTGATTCAAACATCACCTGACTCAGTATCTGCTATGCCTCTGGGACTGACTGGAGGACCCCTGTCCTGGCTGCCACCACAGGGCTCTCTGGGGGCCAGAGAGCCCCTGAAGCTGGCCTCCCTGGTGCTGGCTTCTGCCCTGGGCACACCTGAGTCTCCTGCACACTTTGGATCTCTGGAGATCCAAGGGAACCCCTTCAAGGAGCTCAGTCACCTGCCAAAGATGTCTTCCTGAGGCCCAAGAAGGGAAGTGAGAAGGCACAGGTTGGAGTCCAGCAGGCCTGGGTCTGAACTGTCCCTGCTAGGAGCTCTGGACCCTTGAACAGCCCGTGGCCTCTCCGAACCCAGTGGTCCTCGTCTGTCAAGCAGGGAGGGTGTTGATGAGATGCTGGGCAAGTCACTGCCCTGGTGGGCCCTGGTGTCCTCCACTGTGAGTTGTGAGAACTGCTTTCCATCCCTGAGATGTGAGGAGGGGACGGGTGAATGCTGAGGCTGGGCTGGGGGCTAAAGGGACCATTCAATTCTCCACAGTCTCCAAGTCCATGGCTTTAAACCTGTCATCATGGATAAACCAGTACAGGTTCGGGGCTCCTTCCTGTATGGCAGGAAACTGTCAGGAGGTCAGTGGGCGAGGAGATGGATGAGCGATGTAGCTCACTGTGCATACTTAACAATGCCCCCGGGAACTCCATCTCACAGAGCTGTTTCCCTCAACCTTCACACTGGCCACCTCCTGCCTGCCAACTTCTTAAAGGCTGGCATACAGCACAAATATAAGGGCCGCTGGGGCCAGGCCAGGAGCTGTAAGGTCCTGAGAGCTCCCTGTGGACCCCTCATTAACGCCCCTCTCCCGTCAGTGACAGGAACCTTTTATGCTGATGTCACTTCCTGTCCAGGAATCTCTCCTAGAGAAAATGCCTAACTATACAAATAGCTTCATAAGTAATATTAACCACTGTGTTATAGATAATAACCAACGACTGGAATTAACCTCTGTCTATAAACTACATCACATATATTCGATCAAACATTATGCAGCCACTTAAAGAAAGGGAGGCTTACTGATAAGTATGAGAACATGGGTAAAACTTGATTAACATATCAAATGGTAAGAGCAAAAATCTAAAAATGCTTATTCAGGATGGTTTAAACCAGTGCTGCCCAATAGAAATATAATGCAAGCCACATCCTTAAATTTTCATTTTTGAGTAGAAACATTTTAAAAAGTAAAAGTTGCCCTAACCAGTTTGGCTCAGTGGATAGAGCGTCGGCCTGTGGACTGAGGGGTCCCAGGTTCAATTCCGGTCAAGGGCATGTGCCTTGGTTGTGGGCATGTTCCCAGTAGGGGGTGTGCAGGAGGCACCTGATCGATGCTTCTCTCTCATCGATGTTCTAACTCTCTGTCCCTCTCCCTTCCTCGCTGTAAAAAATCAATAAAATATATTTTTTAAAAAATGAAAATGCTTTAAAAAAAAGTAAAAGTTAATTTTAATAAGATTTTCTTTAACTTAATACATTCAAAATAGTGTCATCAACATGTACTAAATATAAAGAGTTATTAAGTAGTTTACTTTCTTTTTTGTGTGTGTACAAAGTCCCCAGAATGCAACTCAGCTCAGCACATCTGGGAATTCATACCTTTGAAATTATAGCATATCTCAGTATGGACTTGCTAGGTGCCAAGCAATAACAGCTACCCTGGCTAGTGACTACCTCACCAGATTGCACAGGTCTAACCCATTAGAAAATGACTTAAGTGAAGAGAGAGAACCAAGACGGCGGCATAGGTTAACGCCGGAGTTTGCTGCCTTGAACAACTACTTCAAAAGTGAAACTAAAAAACGGAAGGGACATCACCCAGAACCACAGGAACGCTGGCTGAGTGGAAGTCCTACAACTAGGAGGAAAGAGAAACGCATACGGACACTCAGAGGAGGCGCAGTGCTGAAGTCAAATTCTGAGGTGCGGAGTGCGCGAAGCGGGCTGGCGGCGGAGGGCGCGGTTGGCGTTTTCAATCGGGAGGGAGTCGCAGACTCTGAGCTCCAGATACAGGCGAGTCTTTGGGGACCCAGACTCAAACGGGAGAAGCGGGACTGTCTGGCTTCGGTCAGAGAGAGTGCAGCTTTCTCTCCAAGGTTTGCAGCGGGTGCTGGGACTCAGAGAGGCAGAGCCCCTGGGGACAGGACTGAGAGCCGCCATAACTGCTCTCTCCAGCCCACCCTGTTGATCCTATGCGACCCGCCCCGCCCAAGCCCTGCACAGAGGCATTTGCCGGATAGCCTCAGGCAAACGCCAGATTAGCACCTCCCTAGAGGACAGAAGTTCTCTCACTGCAGACACAGCTGATTCTCATAGCCACTTGGCCTGGAGGTCAAACCCTCCCTGGTATTAGCTACAACAATCAAGGTTTAACTATAAGACTGCGAACAAAGACCACTAGGGGGTGCACCAAGGAAGCATAACAAAATGCGGAGACAAAGAAACAGGACAAAATTGCCAATGGAAGATATAGAGTTCAGAACCACACTTTTAAGGTCTCTCAAGAACTGTTTAGAAGCCGCCGATAAACTTAATGAGATCTACAAGAAAACTAATGAGACCCTCGATGTTATATTGGGGAACCAACTAGAAATTAAGCATACACGGACTGAAATAACGAATATTATACAGACTCCTGACAGCAGACCAGAGGAGCGCAAGAATCAAGTCAATGATTTGAAATGCGAGGAAGCAAAAAACACCCAACCGGAAAAGCAAAATGAAAAAAGAATCCAAAAATGCGAGGATAGTGTAAGGAGCCTCTGGGACAGCTTCAAGCGTACCAACATCAGAATTATAGGGGTGCCAGAAGATGAGAGAGAGCAAGATATTGAAAACCTATTTGAAGAAATAATGACAGAAAACTTCCCCCACCTGGTGAAAGAAATGGACTTACAGGTTCTCCAAGAAGCACGGAGAACCCCAAACAAAAGGAATCCAAAGAGGACCACACCAAGACACATCATAATTAAAATGCCAAGAGCAAAAGATAAAGAGAGAATCTTAAAAACAGCAAGAGAAAGAAACTCAGTTACCTACAAGGGAATACCCATACGACTGTCAGCTGATTTCTCAACAGAAACTTTGCAGGCCAGAAGGGAGTGGCAAGAAATATTCAAAGTGATGAATACCAAGAACCTACAACCAAGATTACTTTATCCAGCAAAGCTATCATTCAGAATTGAAGGTCAGATAAAGAGCTTCACAGATAAGGAAAAGCTAAAGGAGTTCATCACCACCAAACCAGGATTATATGAAATGCTGAAAGGTATCCTTTAAGAAAAGGAAGAGGAAGAAAAAGGTAAAGATACAAATTATGAACAACAAATATGCATCTATCAACAAGTGAATCTAAGAATCAAGTGAATAAATAATCTGATGAACAGAATGAACTGGTGATTATAATAGAATCAGGGACATAGAAAGGGAATGGACTGACCATTCTTGGGGGGGAAAGGGGTGTGGGAGATGCGGAAAGAGACTGGACAAAAATTGTGCACCTATGGATGAGGACAGTGGGTGGGGAGTGAGGGCGGAGGGTGGGGTGGGAACTGGGAGGAGGGGAGTTATGGGGGGGAAAAAAGAGGAACAAATGTAATAATCTGAACAATAAAGATTTAATTAAAAAAAATAAAAATAAAAATAAAAAAAGAAAATGACTTAAGTGAAAGGACTTAAGTAATAAAATTTAAAAAAAGACTAGAAAGAAATGTCAAAAACTTAATGATCACAGACTTTCTCTGAGCGGTGGAAATATGAATGTGATTTTTCCTTCCTCTTCCTGTTTTTTTTAAAGTGTCTGCATACAATGAATTTGTGTTACTTTAGCACAATAGCAAGCGTCAATCTTTACTTTTAGAAGGAAGGGCTTTCAGCCCTGAATGGGTGCACTGCACCTGCCAAGCATTGATTTATTTATGCCCACGAGAGCTGTCCTGTACCCGACGCCTTGCAGAGGGTACGCTCTCCTGAATGCTAGTTGGTTAGTTGGTTAGTTGGCGGGAGGGTAGGTTGGTTGGATGGATGGGAAGAGGGAACAAAGTGAGGGAAACAGTACATTATAGCAGTTACAGGAGAAAATTCAACGCAGACCGTTGTTTCCAAAGCCCAAAACTAACACTTACGAGCTGCATGGTTTTAAACAAGTCATTGAACCATTCTGTGCTTGAATTTCTCCAGGTATGAAGTGGCCATGGTGACAGTCGATCTTTCACAGGGTTCGTGAGAACTAAGTGAGTTTATCTCTACAAAGCGTTTGAACACACAGTGTCTGTCGCGCGGCCAATGTTTCCAGAAAGGTTGGCTGCTGTCCTCATGGTGAACCAATGAATGACCGGTGTGGCCAGGCTGTCTGACTTATACAGCAGTGGCACCCAGGACACAGGCTAGAGCCACACTGACCCCAGGTCCCTCCTAAGAGTGGACAGCAATGCCCCTCAGTCCTTGGGTTTGCATGTGGTCCCTTTGCTTGACTCACCCATTCCCCAGCCCCTGCCCCAAGTGCCCGTGGCCCGCGTACCTGCACCACCTCTGGCCTCACATTGAAGGTGTACAGCCAGTCACTGAAGCGAGGGTAGCTGTTGAGCTCAGAGGTCCTCTCACCAGGAGCCACGCTCAGCTTGCACTGCCGTTGCTTGCAAATATACCGGACCAGCTTGGCCTGCGGGGAGCCCAGAAAAGAAAAGGTGGTTCATTCAGGTCACAGACTCATGGCCGCCCCGAGCACGCATGCTGTAGGGGAGCTCTGGCAAACAGAAGCCTGCTGGATTCCCTTTTGCTGAAACAGAAAAGGGGGGAGGGAAGACAGGAGTAGGGTCTGGAAGAGCCAGCAGGAAACCTGGAAAACCACCCGTAACCCTCTACCCAGCCCAAGGGTGGCTGACACTGCCTCAGGCTCGGGACATGATCCTCAGAGAGGAATGGGCAAGACTGGTCAGAACAGAGACTGGGGTTAAAACATAAGGAGGACTTCCTGCCTGAGTGAGGGAGGTCAGGTGGGGCGGGGGGAGGCGGTTAGTAATTGATGATGTGATGATATGGAAGGTGTGGGGGTTTGAGGATCATGAGTAACCTCTCACTTAGGATGCGTCCAGCCTAGAATCAGACCGCCTGCGCCGGGATCTGGGGGCTCAGGCACACCCCCGCCCTGTGACCTTACACAACTTACTTAACACCCCACCCCCAGAAAGGCCTCAGTTTCCTCCTCCAGAAAACAGGGATAGTAATAGAACCTCCCGGACAGAACAGATAAAACCCTCCATGTGTGCCAGGCCCATGTGTGCTGGCCATGCCCCCGGGCGACGGCAGCGTTCGTAAGGGCCCATGACTCGCGTCCCACAATAGGCTTGCAGAACCCACACCCTCAAAGGTACGCTTGAAACTTCAAATATAAAACGCTTAAGTAAGGTCAACCTGACGTTCCCTTTGACAAATACTGGGCGCCCTCTGGGTGGCCCGCAGTGCACTGAGGAATGCAGAGGGGGCAAGACGTGCAGGGAGGGCCCAGCCCAGGGCCAATTACAAAGAAGGGGGGATGTGCTCCAGTAGATGGAAATGAACGCACAGCGTCCCGATGTGGCTGAGATCAAGTGACCCCCAGACCCATGAGAACTGCCGAGATGTTGACCAGACTCTACCGGCCTCATGCTGGTGACTTTCAGCTTCCCCAGAAGGCAAGCACCACCTTCAAAGTCTTGTCCAGAAGCCCTGCCTGGGAGCCACTTCCCAGCCTCCTACCCCTCAGAGGGTTGTGTTGTTCATGCGCCTCCTTTACCCTCCATCTGTACATATCTCAGTGCGTTTCTCTAAACAGCACAGTCCCAATACAAACAAGTGATTAATGATCGTTATCATTTAAATGTCAAATATCTAGGAAGGCTCCCGATTTCCAAAGAGGAATTCTTGCCCATTTTCGCACCAGGGACCCCTTTGGCAGTGTGGGGAGCTCCGTGTCTCTAAGAATAATGCTTTGAGGTGCGTAAAACAAAACACTTAGGACAATAAGGGAAATCAATTACATGTAAAGACATGTATCAAAACATTCCTTAAGGTAGTGATCGGGTACTAGAAGCTTCCTTATTAAAGCGGTGGGTCTCGCGGTTATCATAACTCTGAAGTTGTGCTATTCCAGGAGGCTCCACAACTGTAACGTGATATGGAAACAGCTGTGATTTCTACTGGTGACCGAGTCACACAGATTGGCTAAGACAACTGTGCCTGGTTGCCTCCATCCAAATGGAACGACACCCTGAATTTCAGGTACGGTTAATGACAATAAAGGTAATAACCTCCCACTCCAAATTCATGCGCCCCCAGAATTCTCTCCACAGACTCCAGGGAAAGAACCCGTGTGGCTGGAGGGAGGCGAGGCGTAAAAAGAGACCCATCTTGACAGCAAAACCATTGCTTCTGCAGCAGCCTTTCTGAAATCTCCCCTAGAAACCTGTTTTGTCCCAAGCTCACCACCTGCTAGACTCGGGGGCAATGGCCCGCTCGCATGGCCCTGACCTCTGCTAAGTCCTGCTACCATCAGAGGGCTCCGTGGCAAGTGAGGATACTTGCTAGAGAGGGAACACTGAGTCGGAACAAAAATAATTCCACTCAGTTGCACAGTTTCTATGTTGAGTGAAACCTAGACAGAGGCAAACCCACGGCTGCTCTCCGTGCCTGCACTCCGGGCCCCTCGCGTACCCAGAGCAGACATTACTAATCAGACATTCTCCGCCGAGGCTGGCAACTCCCAGGCTGCCACACAAGAAGTGTATTTGCTGTCCTATTATGGGCCCTAAGCCCCTGGAACTTCTTCAGAGCATGGAGCTCAGAAGTGTGAAGACACAAATGCCTCTTGCACCCTAAAGAGCACTCCTGCCCCTTACCCAGACTCACCCCACTCTGGTCCATCCTTCCTCCAGTGTAACCAGAGGCCCCAACTTTCTTTTCTAGGCTCACCTCACTCCACCCCTGGCCCACCCAGCCCTCCAGGCGCACACTCACCTAGAAAATGTTATTTCCTACACTTTCCTACCCTCTGGGCCTCGGCTCAAGCTGTGTGCTCTGGCCAGAAGGCCCTCCCTCCTCCAGCCACAGTGTCCTTGGCCTGGGCAAGACTTCCCCGGGCCTGATTAGAGTTCCTGTCTCCCCTTCCGAGTGGGCTGTCTGCGTCTCTATGGCAGCCCCTATCACAGCCGGGCTCAGAATGGAGCTTCTGAACAGACATGAGCTCCCAGGGCAGCGGACATAGAACCGGCTTTGGAGTTTAACAGAATCCGAGTTCCAATCTAGGTTCTGCCATTTACCAGTTGTGTGACCTCATTCATGTTTCTGAGCTTGCTTCTCTCGCCTGTACAACAGGAATGATAATATCCAGCTCATTCGTGGTCCATTGGGAAGACTGAACTATAGTATGGGAACCCCCCAGTGACTAGGTTAGTCACCCTATCATTATACATCAGAGCAGGGACGATGCCTACCTCTTTGTGACTGTCCCCACAGGCCTATTCCTGTGTGTGACACACAACATGTACTCAAACATCACAAGGAAGGAGGAACCAAGGGAACCCGTTAAAATGTTTTTCACAGCCAGGCCTTCCCTCCACTCCAAACTGCTCTCAAACTGCAGCTTCAAAGAGCTGACTAAAGACAGGGCAATAAATCAAATAAATCAGATTCTTTTCCACATTAACCCAAGAGGTCGGGCTGCTGGCGCGAGCCGCAGCAGCAGCGAAGGCCATCGTCACTGGCACGAGAGTTTCCAGGGCCATAACCCTGGGAGCTGATTAATAACATCCATTCTGCACAAGACTTTGGCCATCACAGGTCAACGTCAAGATCAGCCAATCTAGCCTCAGCAGTGAGCCAGTGTTTGGGGCTCTCTCTCATTCAGCCCCCTCTGGTGTGTCCAGCCCTTTTCAGCCACCAGGCCCTCTGCCAAAAAGGTTCTCTCAGCTCAGCTTAGATACCCATTCCTCCAGGCAGCCTTCCCCAAGCCTTCCAGCCCTGTTCCTTAGCCCCCTGCCTGCTCCTCCATCAGAACACAAATTGCAGTTCTAGTACTTTCCTTGTCTGCTTCCTTCTTCCAAATGGAAACTCCATGAGGCCAGGTGCCTGGTCTGTGTTCTTGCTCAGCACCAGATCCCCAGGAACCAGCACGGCACCTGGCACAGGGTTGGCTTTTGTAAAAACCTTTGTCGAATAAATAAATGCACACGTAATACATTTTTATAGTCCCGGCAGGCACATTAACATTTGCCAAAATGACAATGGAAAACAAATGCTAATGGGGCAAGTGAGGACTGAGGGGCCTGAGAGTCTCAAACACCAGGGCAAGTTCCCCAGAAGAGGAGTGAGCAGTTGCTTAGTTGAGAGGCCGTGAGCGATCCCTGCAGGCCGGTGGGTGGGACTGTGCAGAATTCACTGCACCCAGTGAGCAACCCATAAGCCGGGTGGGCACAGTCTGGTGACCCGTGGCCAGCAGGCCTGGTGTCCTGTTGGTTGCCACCTCCCAGAGCTCATAGAGAAGAAATGACACCTGCAGACCCAGGTTCTACTGAAGGAGCAAAGCTGTTCTCATTCACAATGGGTGGGGGTGCCGGGGGCGCAGCAGCTCACATCTGAGCAAAATAAGGCTGCTCTCGCTTTTGGGAAAGTTGGTCACAGTCACAGAAGCACCCAGGGGCTACTTACCCAGAGAAACTACAGTGGAGCCTGCCAGCCCAGCCCAGGGGCCTGCAAGGGTACCTTTCATGAGTAGAGTCATTTTCTCTTAACCACAAAACCGCCAGATATAAAGTTTCTGAAACAGAAAAGCACCTGGGGTTTCAGCGATGGAACCCGCAGCAGGAGGGAGAGAGTCATTAGCACTCTGGCCCAAGGGGAGGAGCCTGGGCTAGAACTGAAGTCTCACCCCACCCCTGCCCTGACACTCAGCCTGGTTTACAGAAAGAGCAGAGGGGCACCAAGTCAGCCCACAAACAAGTGGGGGGTATTACCCATACACGGTACACAGCAGGCGCTCACTAAGTGTCCTAGGCTCAATGACCTAGCCCAGGGGTGGGCAAACTTTTTGACTCGAGGGCCACAATGGGTTCTTAAACTGGACCGGAGGGCCGGAACAAAAGCATGGATGGAGTGTTTGTGTGAACTAATATAAATTCAAAGTAAACATCATTACATAAAAGGGTACGGTCTTTTTTTTTTTTTTAGTTTTATTCATTTCAAACGGGCCAGATCCGGCCCCTGGGCCGTAGTTTGCCCACGGCTGATCTAGCCTCTGGTCCCAGCTCTGACATTTAGATCACGGATCCTAGGGGAAATCCCTCTTAGCTCAGCTTCAATCTCACCACCTATAAAAAGGGTATCATGTTATGGAAGTTGGGGCCAAAGTAACTAACATAAAAGTGCTTGGAACAAGAAAAAAGTACGTTCAGCTCCTACCACGTTACTAATGGTTAAGCCAACAAGTCCAAGAGAAAGCAGAGATCTGTGAAAAATCGGCTCTCGAGTCAGACAAACCTGGCCTCAAAGCCCCTCACCACCACACTCCCCAGCAGGACACTTAACCTCAGCCTCAGTTTCCCCACCTGTAAAATAGGGTTGATCTGTTTCAAAGGGCTGTTGTGAAGATTTATAGAAGATAATATGGATGTAAGACGTTCACCCCTT